AGTGGCCAAGAAAAGTGGTGCGCATGCCATCAAACAACGTCTTCAAGAAGACACACAGTATGCGACTCAGCTTGGTAACCTGGTATGTCTTGTAATGCTCATTGCAGTTTTCCTTTTTTCTAACTATGTTCAATTACTCAAGGTGGAGCCTCGCATCCCGTTATTACGCCGTGACCTGAAAGAGGTTGCATGCGCCAACATCGATGGCTACTTCCGTCTCGGCCAGAGCGCAGTGAAGGCGAAAAAACTTATGGAGCAACACGCGTATTCATATTCTTTGAAGTTTGATGTAAGTTGTACTATTCTTTGCCACTCGCTAAGTTCTTCACACTCAGAAGTGGGTTCTTTATCGTATTCCTACATATCTAACTAACTTTTATTTCTTCAACAGTCCAATGACAATCCCTCGCCTAGGGGAAACAAACCCTACCAGGGTGAACTTGTTATCTTTCTACTGCATACTGGAATCTTCAATGGCCCGAAGTCCATCGGCGTCAAATTCGCAGAGCGCTTCATCGAAATTGCCGGCAACAAAGCCAAACGCCCCGAAATGCCTGTGCCATTGCTGGCGCTGGTTGCGATGGCAGTAATGTCCTTCTATTTATCTCTTTGCGCAGTGCTAACTCGTCTTCAAGATCTATGCAGCCCTGTTTTGGAAGACGCTTGGTTCCCCAGGGAAGTTCAACTTCACAGGGAATCAATTCAGCGAAACTTATATGTTTCATGTGAAGTTCCTCGAGGATCTGAAGAAGGACGTGCCTAAGAAGTTTCACTGCATGATGGCGGACATCTATGAGTCTGTTCAGTAAGTTTCGCTAGTATGCATGGTGCTACTTTGACTTGGGTATTGACACTACTGGCAGGGCCTTGAAATGAAAGGGTGGCGATAATCAGGCTGATGAGCATCGAAAGGCGTTGGCGCTACTGGACCTTGATGGCATGGGTGAGGATTAGCTTCTAGTATGGTGCTGATCTGTGAATAGTGCAGATTTGTTTGATCACTCCTTTCATATACCCTGGTCTCTGTCAGCTTGCTCCCAGATTTGTTGATCACTCGTTTTCATATACCCTGGTCTCCATCAGCTTGCTCCCAGATTTGTTGGTCACTCCTTTCATATACCCTGGTCTCCGTCAGTTTGCTCCCAGATTTGTTGATCACTCGTTTTCATATACCCTGGTCTCCGTCAGCTTGTCCCCGTGTTTCTAGTTACTTTGTATATGTCTTTTAATCAAATGCTATTCTTTTTATTGTAACACCGTCTGAAATGCTTGATTTCCGCTTCGTGATTCAACATATTCTTTCTGAATTTCACTCTAATTGCTTGTGATATCAACTAATTATTGACAATTATACATTACTCTCGAGGGGGTAAAAAGTACTTCTATGCGCCATAACCTTCCTAAGGCTGATAATGTCTGATAATAGTCAGAAATTATCGACATTTATTGTTATTTAACATAATTTGTCGAGGGAGGGTTTTCCTGATGAAGTCTTGAAAGTCGTGGACTATTATCGCATTCCCAGTGGGCGGTTAGTGTCGGCTGTCGCGAACGTTGCAAAAGCGTCGTAGCGTCCTTTGTGCTCCGTCTTGAGTATCGTGAAGTGGTGTTGTTTGATAGCGTTGTGGAAACTGTCATTTCTTGATGTGCTGTATTACTCTCGTCGGCTTGTGGCCCGTGACTATGATGGGCTATCGTAACGGCCGTGGTTCTTGGCGTTTTAGTGAGTAGTAAAGCCGCGGTGGGCGAACGCAAGATGTTAGAGGTATCAGGACGTGCGTCGGCGAGGTAGGTGGTGGTAGCAGCTGGAATCGCAGGCACAATACGAGCCTTCATGGGTGGACCGGGCTGTCGCTGAAACGGTACTGACCAGTCCTGTTGGCGTGTTGCTGGATGGGGGAACGCGCGATGCTGTTGCATGTAGTATGTGACCACGGGGCTCTAACAAACTGCAATGAGCAGCACACTTGGTCCAGTGATGAATCGGTTCGTACCTTCTGCTGCTTCAGTTTATGTGGGCGGGACTTCTGAGGCTGATATTGAAGTGCTGTGAAAGGGGAAGTATAAGCAGCCGGCGGCGTGTTTCATGACCAGCATCAGGGGCTTTAGGCAGTGGCCCTGGTGTTTTGAACTAAGATCTCAGTGGGGCAGATGGCGCCCGGAATTTGTGGTCCAAAACGAGTGGGCCAGGAGGGAGCATTGTCAGCAATGAAAGTTTTGTCGATAGTCAGAGTTGGTGTGCTTGGGAGTATGGCATTAATGTGATATTTGAATCTATCATGGGGGGTCCTTTCATCATCAGATAACTCGACAAGGTCCAAAGCTTCCTTAGTGAAGACATCCTTCAAGTTGACAAAGTCATTGTTGGGGACTACGGAGGGACTGCTTTGGAAGAAGTTCATCGTCTTAAGTAAGGCATCAGTAAGCTGGGCGGATCCAGGAAGAGAATGTGTAAGTGTTGGCCAGAATTTGCCGACTGGGAAAAGCAGTGTGGGAATCATATTTCAGCTGGCCAAGCTGCTGAGCAGAGAGCAGTATGTTCAGCCCATGGGATTCTGACTTGGCTCAGTGCTCAGAGAGTAGAAATTATCATCAAAAGGGACTGTCATTCAGGCTGGTACTGACACTAGTGAAAGAGATACATGCTTAAGTAAGCAGCAAAAATGCGAACATAAGCTAAAGAAAGTGAGGGTAGGTAAAGGTAAGTAAAGTAAGTAAATCTAAGCCCAAGGAAAACTTGACTGTCACAGCGGCTGCAAGTTTGGCAGATGAAACAGACTGATAGTGTCAATAGTTGTTATGCTTTGGGGTAGGGCGGGTATGATCTGGAATACTTATACCTTGATGCAGTTTACAGTGGTATTGGGAATGTTCTCACCAGTGGAAGGTCATGGTGCACTGGTATCGTTGCTGATAATATTGAGGCTGCTTTGTCAGTGGCTAGAATGAGAATGATGGTAAACTCAATTGAAGCCAACACGATGGGGCTGGCGGAAACTTTCCCTAGTCTAGACTGAATGGAGAATGGCTCCAGTCAAAGTACAATGCAGAGATTAAGCCCACAACATGACTATAGGTGTGAGGTGACATAGATAGTAAGTCGTAGAAATCATAATGTTAAATGTATGGCGCATAGTTGGCGTTGTCTTAATAACTGAGGGTCTTATATAAATGTGTGTAAAATGTAATGACACCACAATTACACTAGGATAAGACTTCTTGCCAGTCCTCGATTAACACGGTCTATGACTTTTCTTCTTTTGTGGTAGATAATGTGTGAGTTCTTGGGAGGCTCACTAAACCAATCTATGTGATTAACTTAGCCAGAGCTTTTGTGTTATATCCCAACTTATAAACTTGTCTAGGATAAACTGTCTAGACACTGGAATGTGGTTCCTTGTTAAGATAATCCTCTGTAGAGACTATGGTCTCAAATACAAATATGTTGACCAAAGACTGGTTGGTCAAATAGGCACAAAGTGGTGAGAAACTGGTCTCACAAATGAACAGATTGACCAAAGCTCGTGTTGGTCAATATCAGATAACTAGGTGAGAAGCGGGTCTCACAAATGAACAGATTGACCAAAGCTCATGTTGGTCAATATCAGAAACTAGGTGAGAAGCTGGTCTCAAATAAACTAAGTTTCTATCATAAGAAACTTATGTAATCTCAAGGGAATGTCTTTTCCCTGCACTTGGTACTTCAAAGGGGCTTTCTTTGTAAGCAACAATCTTCACAGTGAGTAGCTCAAACTGAGATTCAAATGATTGCAAGTGGGAGATCCTATTTTTTTGGGGGGAGAATGGGCCCTCCTTATATACATTTTGTGTGGGAATATTATGTAAGTAAAAAAGCGGAGCAATGACATCAGAAGTGGAGCAGAATATTCCAGAAAGTGGAGCAGAACATTCCAGAATATTCCATAGGTGGAGTAATGACATCAGAGGTGAGTCATTGTGGAGCAGAACATTCCAGAACAAATGACATCATAACTTTCAACAGAATACTTGCAGGAGTATCTGTGGAGCCATATGACATCATTATGACATCATACCCTGTAGGTACAATTTTGTGAAGTATCTGATGGGTCAGAGCATCCCAATAGAAAAATAAATCAAGGAAATACTAGAGAAAACAACTCAGAAATAATAATACAATAACAAGACACAAAACACAGGCTTTTTAGATAGGTTTTTGTTAGGCTTTGAACTTTTCTCTATGGTTTTCTCTAGCCAAAGTGAATAAGCCAAAGGGAAGGCAATACCTTAACCTTCTTGCTTCACAATATCAACTAGGTCATTGTGTGATTCCCATCTCACAAATGACTTTTCTTCAAGATATAATAAATTCATGAATCACAGAGGGGAAACTGAACTATATGACCAAGGTTTGAAACCAAGGTATGGGTTGACTAGCCTGATGCCTAAGCTCACAGACTTTGTCTTTTAGGGGGGCTACCTAGTAGTCATGTCCATGCATGATTCCCAAATCATGCAGGACACTGGCCTTGGTTTGAGCCTCCTGAGCAGCAGAGGGGGAAGCCCTCAAACCACTGGGGCCATCCCAGATGACGCTACACAGGAGAATGGAGGCAGACTCCCCCACTCTCAAATGTCACACCAGGCAACATTACAACGAGACACCCCTCACATGTCACCAAACAAAAAGAAAACAAGAGCTAATATTCTACTAGCTACCCTAAACATGAAGGGCCACACTTCTACACTACTAGGAAACAATAATGAGATATCAAAATGGTCACCTCTCCACCACATCATGAGAGAAAGAAAAATTGGAATCTTATGCGTCCAAGAAACCCACCTGCTACCTGAACATGAGGCGCAGATTGAATCATTGTACTCAAAAAGAATAAAAGTATTGAACTCACAAGACCCTTTCTGTCCAGGCAACTCTGCAGGAATCAGCCTTTGTTATCAACAAAGAAATACTCAACATAGATGACCTAGAAACATATGAGATCATACCAGGGAGAGCCTCAGTACTAAGAATAAGGTGGCATAATGAAACATACCTGACAATAGCCAACATCTATGCCCCAAATAACCATGCACAACACCCCGATTTCTGGAACACAATAATAAGACTGTGGCAAGAAAGAAACATACCAAAACCCAACTTCCTTATGGGAGATTTCAACATAATGGAAGATGCCATAGATCGCACCCCCACCCGCCTCAACAATGAGCAGGCAATTGAGGCACTCCAAAACTTAAGATTCCAACTGAATATACAAGACTCCTGGCGAATTAACAATCCAACAATGAGAGAATTCACATTCTATAGCAATAACAACTCACATTCGCTGCCTTGACCGCATCTACTCAGCACCAGCCCATGAACTAAGTATCTATGGGTGGGAATTGAGCACATCAGCAATACCAACAGATCACTGAATGATCCTGGTGAGATATACACCAATGAATACCCCATTCATGGGGAAAGGCTGATGGTCATGGCCAATCAGCCTACTAAACGATGCAAAGCTATTAACAAAGATTAGCGACATAGGAAAACAAACACAACAAGAAATCACCAACCTACAGCAACACTGGTCAAAGTCAGAGAACCCACAATGAAGTTGGGAAGACTTCAAGTCAAGAATAAGACACAGTGCGAAAATCACTGCAAAAGAACATTTATACAAAATAAGACAATGAGTGAGACAACAAAAAGCATGGATTGAGAGCGAAATCATGCACCTTGAGAACAAAAGGTTCAAAAACAAACAACAACAAGGCCAGGCAAAGTGGGCAGCCAAGGGTGAAACAATAAGTAAATATTGGTCTAAATTAAACAGCAGTAAGAAGCCACATGACATCATACACAGACTAAGAATACCTAATCAAAACCGTCTGGCCTCAAGATCTGACCACATGGCAGAAATCGCCTGTGACTATCATGAAAATCTGCAAAAAGATAACATGTCAAAACAAGATGAAGTCATAAGATTAATAGAAATAAGAAACACACTAAGTGAAATACCCCAGACACAGACACTACAAAATGAGAATTCACCACTGCACAACCTGCTGAAAGAAAATCACATCCTCGAAGCACTATATGCCTCAAAGGCAGGCAGCACAGCCAGCATTGACTGGGATACCTTACGAAGTCTGGAAAAGCCTACATGAGAAACATGTAGACAATCAGAAAAACGATGTCCCAAGCTTTAATATAATAAAAACTCTTACCATAGTAATCAATGATATACAAAAACACAAAGTGGACAACCAGACAGGACTTCTCACTGGGCTGGATGTGCCTGATTTACAAGAAAAAGGACAGGGCTGAGATAGCAAACTATCACCCAATCACCCTACTGAACACTGATTATAAAATTCTAATGAAAGCGCTGGCAATGCAGCTAGCAAAAGAAATACACTCACTGATCCATCCAGACCAGAGTGGCTTCATACCACGAAGGTCCATCTTTGACCCCATCCACTTAGCACAACTCATGATAGACTACACAGACATCGCTGAGGAAAACAGAGTCCTGATTGCACTAGATCAGGAGAAGGCATATGACAGAATAAAACATGACTACTTACTAGTGTTACTCGAATCCTTCAACCTCCTGCAAACCTTCATCAAAACAGTCAAAGCACTGTACTCCAACACATACACAAAGGTTGCCATAAATGGCATCATGAGTACACCCTTCAAGGTCACGAGAGGAGTGCAACAAGGCGACCCCCTCTCATGCCTCCTCTTTGACCTCGCTATAGAACCCCTAGCATGCACTCTTAGACACTCAAACAAACTAGCAGGATATAATATACCAGGACTCACTGATAAGATCATTGTCAACTTATATGCAGACGATACAACAATTTTCTTGAGCAAAACAGACAAATACAGCAACCTGGAGGAAATCCTGTCGAGATGGTGCACTGCATCCAGTGTGAAGTTCAACCTAGAAAAAACAGAAATTATCCCTATAAGATCGAAGACCCACCAAGACCACATACTCCAAACTAGAATACTACACCCTCTTGACCCTCCTCTAGATGATAACATAAGAATTGCACCTGATGGACATCCTATTAGATCACTAGGAGCATGGATAGGCAACAAAACGAATGACTTAACTCCCTGGGAACCAATACTGAATAAAATTAATATGGCCTTCAAAAGATGGAAAAATGGCCACCCCACACTCGACGGGAAAAGACTGATAGTACAAATGATGGCGGGAGGAATGACGCAATTCCTTGTGAAAGCACAGGGCATGCCTAAGAGCATTGAGTCAGCATTAATAAAAATAATAAGAAACTTTATATGGAATGATGCACGTACCTCACCAATAAACCTGGAACAAATGTACAAAACAAAAGAAGAAGGCAGCATAAATATGCTAGATATAAAATTGAGAAACAAAGCCATAGAAATAGTATGGGTGAAATCTTACCTAGATCTATCCGAATCCAGACCAACCTGGGCTCTGCTGATGGACCTAATATTAAACAGCATCAGACCATGAACCAACAACAATGAAACTGAAAATACAAACCCCCTACTAATGTCATGGTCCCCCCCAACAAAAGGCAACAAAGTAAGCTCCCTACCACAAGCAGCACAAACACTCTTAAAAACTGCTAGAAAACACAACATTAGTTTTGCGCCAATAAAGATCTCAAAAGACATGAAAAAGAAACTACCAGTATGGAACCACATAGGAACCCCTACTAATGCATACCATAAAATAAAAACCAAGTGCCTAAACAAAACACACAAATTAACAAACATAAAAGATCTCATTAAGATACACAAAAGACTCACCCACATCAACAATGAAGACCAACATTACCCACAGAAAGACTGCCCCTGCCCAGCATGCCAAAAAGACCACAGAATAGGTTGCAAAGACCCCCACAAGTGTGCTCAGACCGCAAATGAAATTCTCTTTAAAATCACCCCAAAATTCAACACAAAAACCAAACCTAAAAAGGATGGACTGACACTCACCCAACGAAGGCTAGAGAAAAACCATCAAGCCCACAAGAACAGACAAGGAGAGATCCTCTTTGACCCAACCACCACCATCTGCTCCAACCTTGCAGACAGTTTCAGAATCTTCGTGGACCCAGAACATATCTCCCCCACTCCAGCACACAGACTAAGAGTGCCAGCAAGAGGCCTAAATCTATTACAAGACCATATTACAATTTTTACCAATGGCTCATGTATCAACAACAGGAAAGAAAACTCACAAAGTGGAGGCAGCATCTGGCTCAGAGAGAACCACCCAAAAAACCTTGCCTTCAGAATCCCAGGGAACAAACACTCTAACCAAATAGCCAATGTAGGGAATGAGATTCCTCCAGGCATATATTGTCCATATTACGACTCACGACAATTGGTACAGTGTACAACTCACCCTCCATGACTTTCCCACAAAATGCGCCAGAGGCACGACACATTCCTGCACTACGCGACACTTTCCCGTGCACGCGCTTAGCGTGCTCTTCCTGCGCTTGGTCGCCTTATGTCATGCAGCATCTGGGAGCATCCATCCATCGTCCAACCAGTCCCCTGGTGCATCCCTTTTCATTTATTCTCATATTTAGCATTGTACCATATCTTATTTCATCATGGACCCTTTATTTACATCATTTACATACTTAGAGCACTCCCTGTTCACTTCCGAGCCCTGGGAGTGCGCCTAGGCACAGCTTACCTGTTGCCTAGGAAGTTTTCATACAGCTACCACCACCATGTCACTTAGTATCTCATAGTGAGAATCATCATCTTCAGTTAGCATGCATTAGTCATTGCCCTAGCCATCAGCAACAGTCTACTATCATCAGTCTCCACTCAGCAGTCTTAGTTCACGCCTTCACACCTTCTACCAGTCATTTATATGTTTGTGCACTGCATGCACCTTATTCCCACGCTTCACGCTCTTACACACTCCACATTCCCGTGTGCATGCTTCCAGCATGCTTCACCAGAGTTGACCTGGTGTCACCCAGTGGATCCTTGCTTTCTTTGCTTCCCTTAAGGGTTGAACATATTGCCTGGCACACTTTGACCAACACTTAGAGAGTCAGTAGCCTTCCTCTCACCCCAGAGGTAGAGGCCTTCTTTCTTTCTTTAGCTCTGCAAGCCCAGCAGAGTTGTTGAACCTTCACTGAACTATCAGCAATCCTTCTGGCACTACAAAGAACAGAGCCATACATACCTATAACACTCATCACCGACTCCAGATACACCATCAACTGCCTCACAAAACACCTACCAACCTGGGAAGACACCGGCTGGATAGGAGTAGCGAATAGCAAGTTCATAAAAGCAACTGTGTATCAACTGAGGAAAAGATCAGCCCAAACGTCATTTGAATGGATAAAAGGCCACAATGGCCAAAATGGAAATGAACAAGCAGATAAACTAGTGAAAGAGGAAGCAAACAAACCCTCAGCAGATGAACTAGACTTGCACATCCCAGATGACTTCAACCTACAAGAAGCAAAACTCTCAGCAATCACACAAGCCCTAGCATATAAAGGTATATGAGAACACATACCATTTGCCCCAAGAAGAAAAACCACAAGCAATCTAGATGTCACACAATTCGCCATACAAGAACTGACCAGACAACTCAAAACCAACACTTCCATATGGACAGGATGCAGACATAAAGACCTGTCAAAGAAAATAAGACAATTCATATATAAAGCCATGCATGGCACACATAGAATAGGCAAATACTGGATGAACATACCAATTTATGAGCACAGAGCATGATGCACCCACTGCAATGCCAACAATGAATCCATGGAACATATCCTAATGGACTGCCCACAAAACACTAACTCCCTGATCTGGTCCCTGGCCAGATCCACATGGCCCATGAAACATGGAGCTTGGCCCAGGATAAGCCTCGGAACGATACTAGGATGCGGAAACATTAGCCTAACACAACCACAACCAGACAATGAGCAACTACAAGATGTACCGGAAAACCGTCAAAACAAACAGTCCAAGAAAGGCACATCATGGCTACTGAGAATACTTATCTCTGAATCAGTGCACCTCATCTGGGTGCTGAGATGCGAGAAAACGATAAGCGGCACTGACTGTTCCCCACAAACAATTACAAAGTGTTGGACGTCAATAATCAACAAACGATTACAAATCGATAGACTTACAGCAAGGAAAATTAATCGAACCCAAACATTTCAAAACTTAGTCACAGCGACCTGGACTGACATAATCACGTCCACAGACCCCCTACCCAAGAACTGGGCCATCGCCCTCGAGGTTTTAGTGGGTATCAAGCAACCCAGGCCCTCTCCGAACGAGGCCCCCAGGTAGCCCAGAGCCCCACACACCCCGCATAACGGGAGTGCGTAAGTGCATTTTTCCTCGGACCGAAGCTTCAAGCTCCGCTATAGCGCGTATCTGTAGAACTAGATTTACTCGGTTACTACAAATATATATCGCTCGTCCAAAAAAAAAAAAAGATCCAGGAATCAGGATATCCCACAATGACGATGTTTGTGCGTGCTTGCCAGCGACGCGTCAGTCACGTGCTCGCAATGTCAATGCCGTTCTTCTCCGGAAGAGAGGTTTGTTGGTTAGAAAACATACGTGTCTCACTGAAACGGGGTTAACTCTTCATCAAGACATAAGCAGCCTAAACATTTTCATGCAATTTTCTCACTACTTTTTCATATGATTGTCATAAATGATACAAAAATGTTATGTTAGCTGAAGGTTCATAGAGAGCCTGGGACTGGCGGGACCGAGCGAATATTATTGGCGACACGCTAGGGCATTCGAGCAACAATACCAAAAAAATTGCCGCTAGTAAACAAACCATTACAGTGCCGCCAAAGGCACGAAGAGAATAAGTGAGCTCAAAAGTGGTTCATGAAGGGTGCATGTTGGTGTCATTAATCTGCCTAGCTATCACTAGCTAGCGCCAAGACCCTACGATACAATTGCGGTCAGCTTCGCTAATCCTGAAAAGAGCCCAAACACTTACTTCAGCGATACCAAAGGAACTTGTTGTCGATGTAGTGTTTGAGAGAATACCTTCGGAGGGGGACGTGGTCCGCGAATGCGCATTCCACTAGCTGGAGGGGCACGACGGTACATTGCAAATGCCGGGGTGAAAGGATCAACGGGACTATTATCTCCTTCCGCTTCCTCTTGCACCTTCAGCGATGGAAGTTTGCGAATGGATCGCTGGGACGCAGTAAGACTAAGAATGTTGAAAGACTGCTCTCCAAGGGGGCTCGAGGTGAGTAGCTTTGAAGAACGTGGGATATTGGTGACCGATTGTTCAGTGGGGGATGTCTGGGGAATAAATGATTGAAGAGATTTGTCATCAAATGTCCTTCGCCTGGTAGGTGACAGACTGCTCTGCCCAAACGCCAACCACCGATCATGTTGATCCTCTGAGCCCCAAGACTTTTCATCAGATGACACAGAAGTATCTGTACTGTTACAATGGAAGTGAACAACTGAAGCCGGTACACTCTCCAAAGGCAACAACAGGCTGAGGTTAGATGGCAGTGTGCTGCGACGGGAACGTTGAGACGGTCTCTTGGCGACATCCACCTTGTCACGAGAGCCGGACGCTCCGATGGTATCGGACCCGTAAACCCCAGGTTCGGGGGATATTAGTGGAGACATCAGGGCTGCAGGGGGCTGCCTCGGTTGTGAAGTGGCGATCTGCATGCGAGGTCTGATTGGGAGACCCCCACGGGTAGGTGGATCTTGATGGTACTCTGAGCTATTTGCGTAATCATTCTGATCAGGCAGAATGTGACCAGCACTAGCAGCATCAGAGGGCGGTCTGGAACAGGTTTTGGTATACTCTTCCGCAGCTCCATCGCGACCATGACTTGAAACGTAGGTCTCAGCCGGATCGACTAAATGGGGGCGAGATTGGGTATACTTTAATCTCGAGGCAACCCTGACCACACTAGCACCAGTACCAGTCTGGCAACTACGAGCGGCAGTGTTGTAACTGTAAAGACTGGACGATAGCGACGACGCAATAGAAGTACGGTAGGTCTGAGTAGTTGCAAAGTCCGTTGGGGCAGTGAACGGACGGCCAGGAGTATAGGTTGGTCCACTGTGTCTGGGAGGCATGGAAACGTGAATGGTGCAGATTGTCGAACCTCGAAGGCTCATAGGTACTGGTATCGGTTCGCCGAGGATCGGTCTCCTTCTATGTTTTTGGAACATCGCTAGAATTATTCATAGTTAACATTTCGAACGGGCAACAACTCATCTCAGAAACACATACCTAGCACAACAAGAGCCCCTATACTGAATGGAACAAATTCACCAACGATACCTATCGCCTTCACTCCGGGTACCAGATTCAAAATGTCAAAGAGCAAGAGCGATAGCGCGCGAAGTACCCTCGTATCTGTCACTGCTCCAACCCTATGCCTGAATTCGAGGAATGGCGGAGCAATAAAGGACAATAGTCTGCCGATCATATAGAGCTCTAGGGTCATGAACATCGCGGACATGGTCAAGGCTGTAGGAAGGTAGCTTCATTGTAACGTTAGACAGAGATGCTATGAGCAGCGCCTATCACTGACCTTGTACTGTAGCACAAGTAGGTGTCGAGCTGTAGTACATATCTGCAGCTATGATGAGCCCAGAGAATCTTTGCAGACAAGAGCGAGACCACGCACGCGACTGCTCCAGCACTCATAACACATGTTGCAACCACGAAACCTTACGCATGTCGGTCAAGCCCGCGTATCGAACCGGAATGCACTCACCTCCAGCAACGAAAAGCCAAGACCAAGCCAAATATATTTCCCACCGCCATAGCTCGAATTTCCGCAGATCAAGGTTTAAGATGATCAAACCCATAAAATGAGCACAAGAGGTAGCAATGCCCCCCAACGCGACAAGAAATGCTGCAAAATGAGATATGTGTGTGTTACTATGATGACGGCATTGTGACTCACTGCAAGCAGAAGCTCCACTATTGGAATTGAATGACAGCAAGGACGAAAAGTGGGCCACGCTCGCAAAAGCAAAACAGAAAGAAAGCAGCAAGACAAGAGCAGAGTTTTCTTCTTCCAATGATGTTATGCTGGAATTTCGATCACCCCAGGAAAGCATGTCCGTGGGAGTCTTTTCTGAATTGTTCCAAAGAGTGCCATGTTCATTGCGAAAGTTGGCGTCTGGCTGTAGACCCCTTCGCTCATCAAAGGCCTTGCAGCACATTTGATACAGGTGACACATCACTGGCGAGGTCACGATGCATAGTAAACTGCAAATAAAAACCCAACCTAGAAAGAAAGACGCGATCTGATGACTGAGACGCATTGGTTGATACACATTGGGGACACGAATCGACTCACTAGTCGGGATGTTCCAAAAATTCACTGATGGATAGTGTTTTTGCGTCACGTACTATGAGAGCACTCCGAAATATATCGTGGGCCAGCATCCTGGACGGTGGGGCGCTCACGAAAAGAAATGGACGAGACCAGCTCAGAAGACGGGGAGAAGAACGTTTTGAGGACCAGCCTCTAATACAAGTATACACTGCACTGTGAGGAAAAGCTACAGAGTGACGAACAAGCTTATCACGTTTCTAAAAACTGTTCGGATGATTTCGATTTCGATTTATATTTAACTCACAACCTGCACAGCCCAGTTGAGATAGCTGAGACCATCGGATCATGATGTATGCTAGTGGGTGCCTACCTGTCCAAACGTTGGTATATCGGAACTGCCTGCCCTTAACATGACAGAAAGGGCCTTGACGACCGCAAACTAAAAGGACTGCGTTTAGTGGCAAGTACTACTAGCAGTGGTGGTGGTGGCCATTGTCGTTGCCAAAATGGTTGACAGGCAGTACTTGGGTAATGATGCGCTTGGCTCTGAGTGATCATTTCATTTCAGTGTCGCAATCAAGATCACGTTTGAAGGATATTGGTCACTTGAAGGAATATTATTGGCAATTGATTGATATGAGTGGTCTCCAATCGCCAATCATTGCAGGATGTGCGGCAGAAGGTTACAACAGTTTAACTTGGTGTCTCAATATAAAACCAAGTATCACTAGGCCACCCCCCGAATGACGGGTTGCTTAAGTAAGCTACATCACGTGAAACTCACGTGAATTTTGACCAAACATCGAGCCAAACATATTTTCCGGGTCAAGATTACCAGTTAGTTTGAGGTAAGGCAAGGCCTCTTCCTGTTGTTCGACCATGGACAACACACCGCAGCTGGGTACAGCCGCAGATCTTGAGATGCGGGCTGCTCGCATTGCAGACCCTGGTACAGGTCCGTGTCCCACAATAAAATTCAGCTCTCTGTTGTTGAACATACTGGTCATAGATCTCAAAACGAAGCACAATGTTGCATGCGAGCTACGAGAAATGATAGACACTGTCCGAGATGCTGAATCTGCGCGAGTATTCCCTCAAATGATTCCAGTTCTATTGGAAATTCTGAACACTGGGGAAGCTGCATATCATAAAGACACCATGGAGTACCAATTCAGGCGCGTGCTGCTTGAAATCATACATCGCATACCGTACGGGGAAACTATACGACCTCTGGCTCTGCCATTGCTCAGTGGTATGCTCCATGCCTTGCGCCATGATAATGAGGAAAACGGCGTCACTGCATGCAAGATTATCATCGACCTTCTACGGTCATTTCGATCGTTGACAGAAGAGCTGGTCGCCGAATACATGGGAATTCTTCAAGACGTTTTTCGCAACATGAGGGGACTTGTCCTTGAAACACTCTGCGAGGACTCCCCTGTTCTTGATCCCAATGTTGTCCTTCCCAGCATTCGCAGTTTCAAAGTCCTCGCCGAGATGGGAATGGTAGTTGTTACCTTTTCTCAGAGCCACCGCCCCCTTGTTCTTCACGTCATTCAAGCGACACTCTGCCTCAACTTCGAGGTCCTGGGCCTTGAATCTCCTGCCCAGAAAAAAGCTAGGGAAGATTATGAAGCCATGGGATCTTACTGGTCCGGCATGGCACCCACCATGAAGAATCCTCAAGCCTATATGGATTTCATCACTGGGCAAATCAAGGTATGCATCCCTGGAACAATTTCTATATTCGAGGGTACTCATTGCGTAGATGGTATCTTATGTTGCATATGTCATGCGAGGCTTTGGAGAACAGTTTGATTCCTTTGGAGAAAGGCTTATTCTTGCTGCTCTTCGACTAATGCAAGATTTGCCTTCTAACGGCATCCAGGCACGAAAGGTGAGTTGCCTGTACCAGAAACTTAACTAGACCCAAATCCATCTTCTAGGATCTGATAGTGGTGCTACGGCATCTGATTGGAACGCAGCATCGGAAGGCTCTTTTACCTCAGATCGACAAACTATTTGATGAACGTATTCTTCTTGGAGATGGAGTAGGTAGTAAAGAAACTTTGCGGTGAGTTCAGTCGATAAGCCAATGAGGAGCTATAGTTGATCATCAAGAATCAGTCCGTCGGTTTACGCCTCTGTCGCAGACCTTGTGCACCACGTCCGGGGCGACCTCACGGCAAATCAGCTCGCGCGTGTGGCAAAGCTATATTCTGCGTTAATCCATAATCCTTACCTCAGTCATAACTTGCATACGCTGTTCTCCAAGATGATGTTCGGTCTGATCGAGAATATTACAACGAAGGATACCGCTCAAGGTGCCACACGGGTACTGACTGCCATGTTCGAGACTTGCGTCGACAAGGTCGAGGCGATGACACTGGTCTTGGACAACGCACTTGAGAGGTTAGAGAAAGCTAAGAATGGCGAAGAGGAAGGCGTCGACTTTCTGCTGATAGAGAAGACGCGACCTGTTGCAGGTGCTGCCTATGCAACTGAGAAGCCAGAAGAGGTTATTCATGGTAAGAAGATTTCGATGTGCATGAATTACCTTTTGATGCCCCTGGTCTTAGAATGCCGCTTTCTCTTCCGAACCCTTCTTCATGGGTTCCGTGTCTGCCTCGTGGGATTGAAAAAATGCGATGCCCCAGTTCCGGAAGGAACACTAATCCTCCGTCTCTTCGAAAGTTGTATGAAATGTATGGCCCTGTTCGATACAGAGCCTCGCGACGCTACCGAAGCCATGGAGTGGTTCAGCGCAGTTCTACTGGAGGTCAATCTGCACGTATTCCAAGAGGTTTGGACCCACAAGATTGAGTTCTTTTTCGAAGCAGCTCGCAAGAGACCTACACTCTTACAAATTTGCCAAATTCTGTTTAGTCGTGAAAACGTCTCGCCTACTCTGGTAGCAATCGTTCTTCGTTTCCTCATTGACCGCCTGTCACTTCTTGGGGAATACGATGATCAAACAGCGGTTATCACCATTCGGTTGTTCAAAAACGCATTTGGTGCAGTCACGTCTTTTCCTGTGCCCAATGAACCCATTTTGGCTGCGCACTTAGCTAAACTCATTATGGATTGTTTCCCTCTCGCTGCCAAAGCCTCGAAGTCAACCAATTACTACCATCTTTTGAGAGGCTTGTTTCGCGCAATTGGCGGAGGAGGGGGTCGCTACGAGCTTCTCTACAAAGAGGTTCTACCACTCCTTCCTGATATGTTGGAAAGCTTAAACCGCCAATTGCATGCCTCCGAAGGGTATGCGAGGGACATGATCGTTGAGCTTTGCCTTACGGTCCCGCTGCGTCTCACACATCTCCTACCTCATCTCACATATCTTATGCGCCCCCTCGCACTCGCGTTGCGTGGGACTCCTGAGCTCGTGTCTCAAGGTCTTCGTACCCTCGAGCTTTGTATCGACAACCTGACACCGGATTTCCTTGATCCGACTCTCAACACCGTTCTCCGAGAACTCATGGAAGCGCTTCATAGTCACCTAAAGCCACTACCTGCCAGTCATCATCATGCCCACACGACCATCCGTATTCTTGGCAAGCTCGGTGGACGCAATCGCCGTTTGTTGTATAAAGAACCTGCCCTCGAATACAACCCATTCTCGAAGGCTGCAAGCATTCCTCTTTCTTTCGGCGGTTCGATGGAAAACGTGAAGCTGGCTCCGATGATCAACCTGGCAGTTCGAACCCTGCGCAAGGCTGCACCTGCCTATCGTGCCCAAACATACTCGTTATTGGAGACGTGTACCATCACTCTTCTGCATGATGTAAGTAAGCTCGAATAGCGTCGTACTTGACTAACTTTCGATGATGTACCACAGAACAACCATGGACCGGACGAATCTGCGGTGTTCGTCAAATTGCTGGAAGCGATATTTGATGCGATACATATGCCTGAAGTGAAAGACGAAGCAGACAAGTTCATCCGTGAGCTATCTCGAGTTGTATTTTCAATGGAGCTTCGCAAGAACGCTACCAAGGAAGCTGGCCTCAAGCGATATCCCAGTTCTCTACTTTCGTCGTATTTGGAAGCCTTGCCTTCCGCTCTTTCACGTGATAACACCGAAGAACTACACAAAGGTGAAGAACTGGTCACGTCAATCTTGAATAACCTGGTGGTCATGTGCGCGCAGAATGGTGCTACTGCACAGGACGTTGTTCCTACGCTAGTCCAAATCTCTGCGCGCTTCTGTGCCGTCTGCCTTGATGATTCATGGGTGCGGAAGAGTGCAGGTTGCATTGGAATCAGGATTTTGACGTTCCTGCCTAATATTGGTATCAAATGGATGAGTGAAGTTGAACTTGTGCGAACCTTGCTCCACATTCTGAAGGATCTCCCTTTTGATCTTCCCCGTGATGTCACCGACGTGATCGAGGTCCTTAAACGTGTATTGCGCGTCACGTATACGAATTTGGATGCCACGGCGGACGTCCCTATCATTGCTCGTGCCAAGCTAGTCCACATCATCGGTATCTTTTTCTCGGAGCTCTCAAACTCCAACCCAGTAGTTCGCCAAGCAGCCCAAATCTGCGTCGATGTCTTCGTCGAGCTCACTGGCAAGTCGGCTCACGAGCTCCTCTTGCCGCATCGGGATCGCATGTTGACAGCAATATACACCAAACCTTTGAGGGCATTATCGTTTCCCATTCAGGTGGGCATGATTGATGCAGTACGCTATTGTGTCAGTCTCGATCCACCTCTTCCGGAGTTGAATGACGAATTGCTCCGATTGTTGCATGAAACTCTCGGACTCGCCGATGCCGACGACGTCCAGCTCGCTCGTGGAAATCTTCGCCAAGGATCTCTGGAGATTATCAAGCTCAGAGTAGCTTGCATCAAGCTCCTTACTGCATCTATGCCTATGACGGATTTCTTTTCGAAACAGCATCAAACTAGACAGAGGTCAGTCATGGTTCCAAATTTCTCTGGCGTCATTGATATCGTATGATGCAGGGTCACTGGCGTCTATTTCAAGTCTTTGTATTCCCCTTCACAGGAGGTAAAGGAAGTTGCGCACGAAGGGCTTCGTATGGTTTTAACACATCAAAGCCGACTCCCCAAAGAGCTCTTGCAGACAGGCCTGCGCCCTATCTTGATGAACCTTGCAGATCCAAAGCGTCTGTCGGTCTCTGGCTTGGAAGGGCTTGCGAGATTACTAGAGCTCTTGATCAACTACTTCAAAGTTGAGATCGGGCATAAGCTCTTGGATCACTTCCGCATCGTCGCAGACCCCCAAATGT